ACATCTTAGTCTTCAAAAGGAAAGATGATAACATTAGTTTTTTTAAAAAAAGATATGATTATAATGATTTGCAAAATTAAGATCAATATCTTAGATATTATATAATTTGATTGATTTTTGAAATATATTGTTATCAAGACCAATTCTTTTCCTATATTGTTCATTGCTAATCAATTCACAATTAAGACAAAATTATCATGATATTACAATGTATGTATATAAATACAGATGGTAAAAAATAACATAAAGAGATAAAGAAAGACATAGAGAGAGACTAGAGGAAAGTGTAGGGGGAATATTCAATCAATCATATCGCTTACAAGTCCTTAGATCATTACTTTCACAGAAAGGGAGTGTTTTGCAGTACAAATCAATCTATTTGACTTTTATAGTTTCCTCTTTCCTTACAACTGTAAGCTTATGATTCTACGAAGCTTGAGAGTATTTTCTTTTCTTTTAAGCTTGCTTTTCTTCTAAGATAATTTCTTTCGTATTCATGTGCTTATTCTCTTGCTCTTCTTTTCATAGATCTTCAATTTATGGGCTTCAATAAAATGTCTGATAGAAAGTACTTGCTTTGATCTTCAGATCTTCTTATCCTTGTCGTAGGTAGTAGTCGTGGGTTAAAGTCGACTTGTGAGAGCATGCATATTTTTTCAGTACTTTATCAAAAGTAGGTAATACAAACTCTTTCGCACGACTTTTGATAGAGACAACATTTTGTGAATGTCTTCTTTGTCTGTAGTGAACACTTCTGACTTGTATATGATCGAGCAGGTGGATGCTTGACATATGTAATCTGCACAGAGTAAAGTAGATATGCGTGTAAGAAAATATGTTCTTTTCCTGGTCACTTTTGTTGTTTTGAAATGTTATGCATTTAATGTTCTTTAATGTGCATTTAGAACAACTATAAGTTTTTTAATTTTTTCTATTGCTTAAGCAGAAATTGAATGTTTAAGTATTCTAGTAGGGATTGCAAGTAGTTCATAAAAGTTTCCTCGTTGGATGAAAACGTCGTTTAGCACAAGGTATCGTTTAGCCTTTGCAAGGATTTTCATAATAGCGCCTTATTTAGTGCTTATTCATTTGGTTCAAGAGCATGTTTAGTAAGATATCTTTGAACACATGATTTTAGAAAAATGTTATATCTTTTAGCGTGTTCATCAAAAATATTGTTTTGTACTTGATAATGAGAGCTCGTCTAGCATTGTTTAGCAAAGTCTAACACGAGTGCATTTAACAAGACTCTCATATAGCACATTGACACATTTTGTGAAGAAATCGTTTGATAGTACGTCTACTCATGTATTAGTGCGTTCGCAAAAGCTTTTCTTTAAAACATTTAGATTTTATAAGGCTTTTCCACAAAATGCTTATCTTTCAACTATATTACTTTTCAAAGATAATACTTTGTCATATGCTCATTACTTTTATTGTTGTTTGTTAAACTTCAAAACATATGACAAGGTTTGTCTTAACATACAAGAAAATATCATTATGGAGTAGTGTTATGATTTCTTATGTGCAAACCCAGTATGCACGAAAAGGTTAATGGGATTGGCCCTCATTGTTGATGGAATTATTTTTGTAACATGATGATGGGTGATAGTTGAGTCCATGTATATGTTTCATAATGGTAAGTTTATTTCTATTATACCATTTCCACTTTTCCTTCATGTAATGCATTATTTTCAATAATTTTAATATGAACAAATTATATATTTATGAATGTCACAATTGGTATTAATTTTTCATTGTTGTTGTAACATTTGTTGTCTTTTTTTCAAGTTATTATTGAATGGTGCCATCATCGTCACACGGGAGCCGTATAAGTCATAAGGGAAAAGAAAAGGCGATTAAGAATGAGACTCTACATAATGAAAGCCATACATCGAAGATGTATTAAATTAAACATGTTTCTTCAACAGTCATCATCAGATGGAGCACTATGCAACTTATTTTTATACAAGAAATCTTGTGGTGCCAAAGATTCTGAATTTTGATTCATTTGCCACATCCAGTCTATATTTTCATTATCACCTTGTATTTCAAAGTGTATCGAACTTTATATCATTGGACCGTCTATTCTATCTGGATTTGATAAAAGTCTTTTATTCTAATCTAAGAATCTCAACTAATGAATATCTATAGAGTGAGGTGAACAAAGATAAAATTAAGTTTAGATCAGATGATTGGTTCAATTTTGCCCATTTGAAATACGAGGGTCAAAAATTGTCCTTTTGGAGATTTACTAGATGACACTCCCATTGTTCGTGATATAACATTGGCTTCTATGGTCAGACCAAACATGCAAGATCAACATCTGAAAATGGTTGGTTATTTGAACATTAATAATGACAAACTTCTTCATTATGTTGTCGTGCTTATGTTAACTTCACAAGTTGGAAATTTTGCAAAATTGTTCCAAGAAGATATCTTTATGATATGGGTGCTCAAAAAGAATATATTTATCAATTCCTCTCATCATATCATGCAAGATATTCTTAAATGCAAGGTCGATGACACACTTCTACCATATGGTGTATTGATCACTCAAATTATACAATACAATGGAGTACATCTTGAGACGAACACAAGCACTTAAATTGGGACTAAACAATATTGCCAACATCGATGGTGTATGGCAATACAACCTCTGTGTTAATGAAGAAGAAGGACAATTATAAAATCAAAGTCCTGAGCATGACGATCCTATTGTAGGAAGCCAATATCCTGGTGGTCATTTTAAAAATCCTCCCTACCCTTCAAATTCTGACATGATGACTCAAATGTAGGAGGAGGTTCAAGACTTGCAAAACAAAATGCAAAGTATGAAACAAATGCAAAGACGTGTTTAACGAATTGAAGAAAACTTACTCAATTTATCTTTGGATATGAACCGACAAATTGATAGAAGTCAATTTTAAAGTGAACTTAATTATGCATAAATTAGAATATTAAGTAATTTGTCATTATATAATTATATTACATTAACTTATTATTTGGTTTGTTATGTTATATCAACTTATCACTTTGCTTTATTACATTACATCAACTTTAATTATATTTTTTTTTGTCATCTCTAATCTCATAAATGACGTATAATAAAAATGTTAACATAATATCATTTAAATAAGCTACTTACATAACTAAAGAAAGGAACTTCATTATAAATTATAATAAATAGAGTTACCTTATTACATACATATATTTCTCATGTAATATTTTAACTTCACTTTATTATTTGGTTAATCATGAATATTCAATTTGATTATAAAACCAAAAAATTATACTACTTATGACTAAAATAGATTCTTAAAAAAATTAAATTCTAAACAAACTAATTTAACTTTATTTAAATAAAATTTTATTTTATTTTTTAATTATTTTTATTTTTTTTATTACTTAAAATATCTTTTACCATTAAATATGTTATTAATAAATATCATTTTATATTATTTTTACTATTACAAACATTTTGATAATATTCAATTTCTATCTATTAAAACCTTTTTTTATATATCACATCTAGATAAATTTTTACAAAATTTACTTCTAAATTTACTCTTAATAATTTCTAAATCACTCCAAAAGAAAAAAAAAACACAATTTATTCTAAAATTTCCTCGAAATCCATGACTCTGCCTCAACTCCGTACAAATCTAAAGAATTCAATTCAAAATAATACAAATCTATATTAATTTAAATATATTCAAATTGGTTTAATCCAAATTTAAATTTTAAGTCTAATTTAATTAATTGAATTTAAATTAGATTAAATATATATTTTTTTTAATTTTAAAAATTCAAAATGCATGTCTAAGTCAAATCAAGATAGCTAAGAAACATATTGAGCCAAATCGGGATCCAAGATCGAGCAGGATCAAGACAAAGGTCGTGTTTGCTCGGACTCTCAAGAATAAAAGAGAAAACAAAATCATTTTCACTACTTATTATACAGATTGAAATGTCAAGAATGAAAGAAAAAAAAGTTTTAATTAGGCTATTTTAATTTTAATAATAAGAAAATTATTTAAAAAATTTAAAGATCCTAGTGAAGGTTTCAACAAAATTTCTCTTCGTAAATTCCCTAGCATCACCTAAAAAGTCATTAGTTCTATTGCTCCAAATTATTATTAGGAATGACATGTTATGTTATATATCTTAAGAGACATGCTCATCATGCGAAAGGGAAGGGTAAATTTTGCATATAACAATTATATTCAATTACCTTATCACATAACAATTATATTAGGAACAACTATATTCAAATGAAAAATAGCCTTATCACATATAACAATTACCTGTATTTGGTTTTGTATATGAAAAACACCCCCAATGAAAAATAGCCTTATCACATATACCCCAATGCTTCGTATATAATATTTGATAAAACTGCAGATGGAGATTTAAGTTGCCAACGGACATACAGCAACCAAGCTTACCGTATGAAAACCACATTGGCTGGTTTCTGGGAAGAATGGATGAAAAGTACATCGATATATACCGGTTGTACTTTACGTAGCCAAGGGTTGATCAGTTTTATCCTCATTTGTGGGACTCACAAGAATATGTTTTATCTCGTTTAGCCTATCCCTACATTCGTAACATTATACAGTAATATAACTTGTGACATCTAACATTTTTAAACAATTTTTTTAAGTAAAAACTACAATCAGATGGTTTGACGTGCAAAATTGATAGAACTATATACACAAATGAATTAGATATTGTGATTCAAGTTTCCATTTACAGAAGAGGTCGATCCAACGCTCAAATATAAGGATCAGTGCAACTACAGGAAGACAGTGAAACAAATTTGACCAATGATGCTTCCTTACCCAGGGTATGAAGCAACGCCTAATTCAAGGGACACGAACACATTGAAATTTTATCTTCAGGGGTAAAAGCCCAGCCGTAACCTTTTAAATCCAGAATTCTTGCATCATTGTTCATTGAGCTGTGATTCAAATATATTACTGTAATTGACCTACGAAATCCATCATAGTATTCAGAAATTTCCTGGTCCGATGCATCATGGTTTTCCAAAATCAAACTACGAAGTAATTTTCTTTTAGCTACGGGGATTATCAGTCCACTGACTCCACTATTATAAATAGACCCTAAACTCATAATGCATAAGCATCTACTAAGCAGTTAGAAATCTGAGAAAAGAAAATCCTAATTATATAACTACCAATCAACCCAGCACAATCATTTTGTACATAAAAAAATGGATTATGCAATGTAAACTCTTTCTTAACTCTACTTTTTTGTAATTAAAAGAAATTATCTTAAATTGAGCACATATTTTATGTTTGCATAACAAAGGGTGCTTTTCACATAGCAAGTTAAAAGAAACATGAGCATCATATCAAATCTTAAAGTCTAATCTACATTCACATTTAGACCAAAGCTGAGGAGGGTAACCTACACATTCCCTTAATTCAGGGGCTTTCTAATAGAGTCTACATCAAGAACATATATTTTTTCTGACTTGGTTCACCAAATCCATATATTTGTACAGTACAGACATCCAGTTCCTACAAAGTATGTGACAAAAATTAAGGAACTGCGCTGCAGAAAATTTCAAATCATTTTGGATAATTTGCCCCATGAGCAGTTATAGGACACTAAAACAATAAGAAAAATGAAAAGTTTCTCTACAAACTAAAACTAGCTTATGCTTAAGTTAACATTTTCTTCATATAGAGAAGCTAAGATATGATAACATCCATAATAATTTATGTATAAGCTAATTTTATTTTATGGAAAAGAATTTTCTTTTTTCCTTGTTTTCTTCTATTAATGTTTACAGAAAAGTTCATTCAAGCAAACCCTAAGAACATGATTATGCTGTTTAAAACCAGAGTCTAACCTTTCATTTTAATAAAGGTGCATAGGGAGCAGGGCAGGGAGATATACTGTGATCTGGAAGCTGATTTATGAAATCAGTTGTTGCATGCAAGCAGGCATGAAGGATTTTTTTTTCCAGCATAACAAATTGGGTAGCAACTCGCTTCTTCGGATTCAAATTACCATCTGCCAGCTAATGAAATACATATATTGTTAGTGAAAAAGTTGACAAGTCTTATACATTATAGTCAAGTTCTAATGATAGAAACAGTACCATAGATTCATCTTCAGCCAATGTTGTAGGGTACCCAGCCAGCCGAGTCTTGAAATAATCTCCCAGCTGGTCCAACACAGCCCGTTCCATACAAGGGCTTACCTAAAATGTGCCGATAGAATCAACTTTTCACATCAGAAGAGTTACTCTTTCCATTTAATTGACTAAGGATAATTTTGTTTCGAAAAAGGAATAAAATCATGTTCTAATTAATAACAGCACTTGCAAGAACAAACCCTCATGTAATGAAATAACAATGTGTGAAAGAGCAAATGGATTAGACAAATACTGGACTGTGACCATGACATTCTTAAAATTCTTCAAATTCAAACAAGCAAAGGATGAAACAAACTTACAGGACAAACTGGACCTTGGGAGGAGATGACAGATTGCATCTCAGAAGGATCTGAAAGATAGCCCAAACGCAGATAAGGAAGCATATCTAAGAGAGCTTCCCTTTCCTTCCCAGAATATACCTAAAGGTTCAAATAAGGAATTGATTATAAAATTCACTAAGTAACCTTGAAAAATAGTAGGTTCAGTATCAATACACGAAAAACTTGAACTGATGACTTTCCATTTCTTTGAGCCACCATTCTTTTATCTTGATATTGTGGATCTTCAGTATTTAAAGCTGCCTGGAACAGTTGTATCAACAAGGTTAAATTTGAATTCAAACAGAATACTGGATAAAGCAAAAATAAAAGTCCACCTCATACCTCAACTATTAGACGATCATTGGAATTATTTTCATCAACAAAACCATAGTTTATTAGTAACTTTGAATTAGGTTGTGGGCCACACCTGAAAATGACCAACTGCAAATCTTATAACCTAGTTCCTACACAGAACAAAAAGTCCTCAAACCATGTGCTTTTTACAATGACATGCAATAAAATGAATTAACATACCAGACAACAATCGGGTCCCCAGCTTTATATGGACGATCAACTGCAAGCTCAACAGCACCATCAACAGCAGTTAACATTGCCTTGCAGTTGCTTTGGTAGGACAATAAAGGAGGTCCCAGGGGAACTAAAGCAAATCTCCGAGCTAAACTAACTTTCTGATTTCAAAAAGGATAAGCAATCAATTTATGTCAGTTGCAGAAAGAAGGGAATCTTGTTGTCCAGACAGAAGAGCACTGATCTCCCAGCACACAATAAATAGCAGAAGAGAAACACAGTCTATCAATGTGAATATTCACAAGAGGGGTAAAATATAGTTTTGGTCCCTCTAAAATATGTAATGTTCATTTTCATTCTCTCAATAATGTCAGTTTGAGGTCCCTCTAAATCCCCCATTTTATTGCCATGAAACACTACTAAACAACTTAGAAAGGGACTAAAATGAAATTTACAGATTTTAAAAACATATTTTACCATAAAAACATAAACAATGAGAAGTATAGCATGAAATATCAAAGTAAGAACCAAATTTAATAGCAACAACAGCTATCCGAGGACTGCAAGAAAATTACTGCACTGTGCAAAAGTCAGAATTTAGATCTATAGTAATATCCATGCATAATGAAACTCACATTCAATAGTAACAATACTAATAGTACATTTTTCTTTTTAAACTATCATTTCATCTAACAAATCCAACAATCAATTAAAATATATAAACAAATTAAATCAAATAAGTAAAACTTTGCTGCCTGAAATTTAATTGTACCATAGGAGATTACATCATTTCAGATTTAGGTAATTTGACTACATGAACAAATGTAACACTCATGTAGTTAAATAAAAATAGACTTAAAAGATTTATTAGCTATTTAATTTGGTGTTTTTAATGCATATTTAACAACCTGTACAGATATGTAAGGATAACAAGGAAATTTAACCTGTAAATGCACCACACAAGACTGAATAGCAGCAAAGGCTTGTTTGAAAATCTCGAATGAAAAAGCCTCAGTGGGAATGTCATATGGATATTGCTGCAATATATTTATGCATATAATGTAAGAACTAACTGCCAAAATGTAAAGCCACTTCAGTAACTGAACTTGTTCTAGTGCACTTTTAATCACCTGAAACAGAGATCCTGCCATGAACCAAACTGTGTCGAGTTCGTTATACTCTTTTCTTATTGCTTCTACCCTTTCAATAACTTCATCCTAAATCACAGACACCATTTTTAGCCTGGTTATATTTGAAAAATATTAAGTATTAAACTAACCTAATATTGCTGCTCATGAATACAATGGATATGAAATAACAGTAAAATCATTAAGAGGGGGCTAACCTTAACTGGACTTCCTAACAGGTAGTCCAGCTCAGATTTTGACCATAGAAGAGGTGATTCCACCGACAGCTGGCCCCTACCTCGTTGACGATCAAGCTCCCTGATGTATGGATACCAGAAGGACTTCTTCCCCTGTTTTTTCTCATACATCAGATACAATGCCAAGCACGCCAATTCAGACAATTTGTTTGTTGTCAATAGCTCAGCTGCAATAAGGATGAAAATCACAGGGAATAAATTCCAATTTTAAAACACTTAAATAATCAATATACCCCAAATCCATTGATACCTTGCTTTAAATACACCTGGACGAGACAACACTGACACGCAAATCAACAGAAAAAAGTAGTAAAAAGAACATAAACTGTCTTTTCCAATCAGCTAAAGAATTCAAGATTAGGAGTTTGCCAAATTCATTTCCATGACTATACAGATTTTGTTGCCCAAAATGGCCACACCTACTCTAAACAGTTTCCAATGTCCTGCTAACACAAAGAATGATTGACTACAGTGCTTGCCACACTGCCAAAAAATATTTATCACTAACAATAATTTAAGCTTGTGAAATGTCCTCTATCAATGAAGAACTTAACACCATATAAGACATGACATGCCAAAATCAACCATTGCTCTCATCTTTGCTTGCTGAAAAGAAAAGTTTTAGTATTTCTTGCTCCCTACTGGTGACAACCATATGCAACGTATCCTCTGTACGAAAAAGTTTCACCATTTAGGCCTCTACATTTTTAATTATGCCCTTGCCGTGTGTTACTAAAAGCATCAATTGGAGAGTGACTTTTAACATAGTAAAGCTTAAATACTAAATTTAAATTGAGAGATTATACAGGCAAACTATCAATAAATACTATAGTCTGTGTTCTTATAAGTGGAATCATTTTCAATTTGATCTATATTCTACATTTTCAATAACAAACAATGGTAAGGATAAACATATGGGAAGGAATCATCAACTTCAATTTTCTAAGATCCACAGTGTTCAAATTAAGAATGAATGTAACCTATAAGAAGTAAGAACCAAAAATCCATCCACACTTCTTAGTATCTGATAATCAATTTCGCATCCAAAATCTACTAAATTTTGAAAATTCTTAAAAACCAAAAATAAAAAGTTCGGTAATGTTTTCTCATCCTCTTCTTTTGGTTCATTCAAATGTTCTGTTCAAATAATTAAGCAACAAGTTTCCAAAAAGCAGAAATAGACTCAAGAGACAAACACTTTCACATAAGCTTCATAACAATTAAACAAAAAATATAGAGAATATAAAAATGTTTTTAAAAGCAATCAACAAACAAGGCCTAAACGTTTTTCCATTTTCCAGACATTCTAATTTCCATCACTTGTTAGCAAATTAGTAAATAAAATTAAAAGAAAAATCCAAATATAGGCAATCTCCATTGTATAATAATGGGACTAGGAGCAAGACAAAGTCAAGACCAAAGAATAAAAACATTGCACAATTACCAACAGTCTCGTTTCCCAATACCCTCTCCAGCGTAACAACTAAGGAATTAGGAACGGAGAATGCAACATCGCCAACCTGCAACGAGAGAAAGACAACCCCAAGCAAATCATCACATAACCCCTCATCAAAGAAAGACCAAATTACATCAACTCCACTCTGGTTTCCCAAAATTCACACTGTTCTCCTACCTTTCTATTCCTATAACAAACCCCTTAATGTTTGAAATACATTACAAGCACTCTCCCTATCAACAAGAAACACATTGTATTATATGCCAAGGAGGTTACTGTAAAGTTACAATGAGTATGAATTTCGAAGAAACACGGGTGTCAGTGTAATTTTTTAATGAAAAAGTCACACACGACAACAGCAATAATAATGATAATGAAATTATTTGAGCCGTGAATGGACCTGAAGATCTTGACTTGCTGCAACGTAATGTATAGGCTTATGGGGATCATTGTGGCAAGGTTTATCCTTCAGAACAACCTTGCACGGCGGGAGGCCGTGTTTGTGCATCCAAGATTTCAAGTCCTCCTCGTGCTTCTCTCTGTCGCCGGCGACTACAGGGCCGCCGCCTGCGAGTAAGGTATCATTGTTGGAGGCCGAGCAAAGGCTCCTCCTCCGGCGGCGGTTAATGCGGAGGTTTACGGCGAAAAAGGTGGATAGTGCCGGCACAGGGGAATAGCGAATCGGAGGTGAGAAGAAGCACGTGTCGGAAACAAAGAGGCGCGAGAGTTCCATGGGGTTAGGGTTTAACGAAATTGGGTTTCAGTTCTTGTGCAAGAAGTGTTTGTTGAAGATATTGGTTTAAAGAGATATTTTGGTTAGTGGGGTCTTGGAGTGTTGTAAGTATGGTTCCTGTCAATGCAGTGGGAAAGATAAGACTACGAAAAGGAGATCAGATTTTGGTTCAGAGTGAAACAGAAAATGAACAAGGGACAGCTTGTGTTTTTCTAATAAAATTTAGAGTTTTACTTAAATAATTTTTATTTAATAAAATTTAATATTTTAATATGTAATAAATAAATAATTTAAGATTGATTTAATTGATGTAATAAAATTAAAATGTGTGACAGTTTCTATAAAATTAAGTATAAATAAATATTTAAATACACGTAATTCATCTCGAGTTAAAAATTTAAAGGGAGTCCTTAATTTTATAAATTACGTTAATTATAAAAAATAATTTTGTAAAATCTAATTGAAAGAAAATAAAAAAATCATTATTAAATGCGAGTCCAAATAAAAATAGTATTTTTAAAGAACATTTTAAATAATTTGTTATGGAAACTACCTAAATTTAAATAAATTACTTTATCATTAATAATTTAATATAACTGTGCTATTTTTAATTAAAAAAAAACTTAAATTCATTTAATAGTAATACTTAACAACTATAATTATATCATGATTATATAAAAAACTTAATGCACATTATAAAACTTAAATTAAAGCAGCATCATGGTTAAATTGTAATCACATCTTATCTTATGGGTGAGAACTTAACTTACCGTGTCACCCAAAACAATATTTAGTAAAAATTTAAATTTTAGTAATCCAAATTAAAAGAACAAGCAAAAATAGTTCATATAAGAGAAGATTAATGATGCAAAAGACATAATTAAATATAATTATAATAATGTTAAAAAAGGGTAAATTTTCTTTCTTTCAAAATTTTATTGTTTAATATATAATTATTTTTAAAATAATATAATTGGTGGTACTTTCATAGTTAGAGCTAGTTTGAGAATCATTTGAGAATTAGAATCAACTTCACAAGTCTTTTATGTGCAATTACCTATTATTTTAACTCATATCGAACTAATTATACTTTAACTCATATCGAACTAATTATGGAAATGATAATCTTTAGGTGAAATAATGGTTGTATATATATAGGTGAGAATATTGGTTAAGGAAAGAAAAAAAATAATATATAATTTCTTGACTTTCATTATGCTTAAAGACTTTTTTCTATAAAAATGTCAAGAATTTATGCTTCATGAAAATTGGTGGGACATGCGTCTCAATGGAACTCTAGAATTGAGAAAGTTTGTTCAAGTTTTGAGTTTGACTTGTTCTTCTATATGTTAGTGAACTAGATTTCATTGAAAATGGTAATTCAAGTTTAAGATAAAGTTCAACAATGTTGATTTATATGAATATGGTTCAATATTTTAGATGTATTTGAGTTTAATAGTATAGTTTTTATGTTAATGTGGATGATGCATACTTTTCATTAAAAAAAAGTTCATGATAATGAAGAAGATGATCATGGAGATTGTCATTAGAGTATTGGTGACAATAATTGAAATCATTTTTCTACTTAGTTATTTAATTCTTATCACTTTGAGAACTTATGCTTTGTAATTGAATGAACTTATCTATTTTTTTATAGTTTGAACTTATATAATTGTCATGCATTACTAAACTTAATTATGTTTTAATTATAAAATTATTGTGAACTATTTTAATTAATTATGATGTTGAACATATTGGTAATTATCATATTTATTTTTTAATATGATGTAAACTCTTGCAAATCAAGAGTCTAAGTTCACGAGTTGAATTTAGAGAGCTCCCATAAGTGTATATAGACGCTCGAGTCTATATCCATGTTCTCATTTACTACGTTATAAGATGTGACAAATGAATTTATATACTTATTTTGTCCTAAAGCATAAAATTATCCTCCTACATTAGCTAAGCATAATAATTACCTTAGAGACTTTTAATATGAACAAAAACATAATGCAAAGGTTTGTCCTCAACAACCAAATTACCTATATTCTTACAATTGTTGTCCTAAAGTATTAGACTTGGATGGTTTGACAAAAAATAGTCTAATTGCAATATTTTATTCATGCTAATCTAACCTAGCACAATCTTAATAAGGCCACCTTCATATTTTAATCATAACACTAAGTTCAAGTTTTGATGAACTAATGTTTTAATATAAATATGATAAAGAGATCATTCAACAATCATATAGTCATCATACTATCAAGCATATGTATATCTATAATTCAAATGAGCATCATACGATACAACATAATATCTATAATTCAAATGATCATCATACAATTCAACATATGAAGCCAACAAAAGGAAACAAGGACAAATGTGATGGTTTTATAAAACATGTTCACAAGCCTTTTGAAAGAGATACCTAGCAAGTCGTGTTACGTATTATAAAAGGATTAACAATAACACGTTTTTAGGATGGTTCACCCTAACTTATACCAAGTCTAATTCTCCAATGCAAACTACAAAGGGTTTCACTATATAAAATACACTAAAAGTACTATCATTATCATTTTTGACTTACAACAACAAGCACATAAAGTCACTTTTGGCTATCTGAGTACATAACATCGCTCCAAGCTTAGTTCATGAAGCATCTCAAGACTATATAGTTAGACACTCCTTAAGTTCCAGCATGGGTACATGGTGTTGGTGCAAAGTAGCTTTAGAAGGGGAAAGATGAGTAGAGCCTGGAAATTCAAAATTACTTGCACATGTATGCAATTATAAATGAATTTACTGCTTGAAAATAAAAGTGTAAGGATAAATAGAATGCACACAACATGTTTATACTAGTTCACCTCCACCTACGACTACGTCCAATCTCCTAAAGAACCTGCTTATGAAATCCATTAATTAACAACTTTGATCAATAACGAGTATCACTCTCTCCAAGTTACACGAGTTTCAACCTCTCAAGGTACATGAGTACAAATCTCCAAGTTACAATAAGTATCAACCTCTCTAGGTATCATTCTTAAACTCCCCCTGATATCAAGAACTTTCAATTACAATACTAAGCAGTCGACACTCTCTCAATAGGAGCGTGCAACAAGGTCATAAGTTAGAACTTCACTCAATGAAAGATATGAAATGACTTAATCAATTCTTTGATTTGATTTTTCAGTTGGAATCTTTAATGTCATTCTTCAAGACTTCAATTTTGAATCAGGTTAAAACTATTCAAGATATCTTATTTCTTTTGTGATTGAGCTCATACTTGATTTTGAATTCTACTCTCTTCAAGCTTCACAAATTGTCATATTAATAAAACTATGTGGCACTTGATTTTGCATTTGAATTGTTAGAGCAATATCTTTCATTCAATCAAACAATTCATTCATCAATATTAATTTCATTTGAATGTTTTATTCAAAAACTTTTTCCTTCTAAAATGATAGTATTCCTTGTAATTCATATTATTAAATCTTTGTTCCAAATACTTGTATCAATTTGTTAGTTTAGTAAATAATCAGAGATCAAAAACTTGTTTAAACCATCAAAGCATGCCATAAAAGCTTAAGTATTAAAGGTTGTTTAACACTTAGGTCATTTGATGACTTAAGCCGTTTTGGGTCATCTAATACCTTAGTTGTTTGACACTTAGGTCACCTAATGATTTATGATGTCTTAGGTCATCTAACCCTTAGTTGTCTGATGCCTTATTTGTTTAACACCTTAATCATCTAACGTAGTGGCTTAGGTTATCTAGACATCTAGGTAGCCTAGTGCATTTACTTAATGATTTGTACTTTTAAACTCATCTAACACCTTGACTTGTCTAATCCTTAAACTCGTCTAATGCTTAGATTTCACCTTTGCATTACTAGAGTTGTTGCATTTGTTGACACATTTAATGTATAAATATTAATCATTTAGCACATACAAGCAACAATATACATCATATATATTTTGAAAAATATTGATAATTTATCTTTCTTACTATTTCCATTAGACGCTCTCTTTTAATCATCTGATCATAATTTCCCTTATGATTAGAGACTTACTGATAAACCTCTTGATGCCTAGATTTTTACACAAAAACTTTATTTCCCATTAATGTGATACAATGGTCAACCAAGGTATTAATCCAAGGAGATTCACTACAAGAAATAATGGATTTATATACAGAAGTTTATATACGGATTTAAATCCGTATATAAGGCAGATATTATATACGGAATTGATATACGGAATTTAGAAATAATGTTATATACGGATATTATATACGGTTATTTATATACTGATGTTTCGTATATAAATTCCGTATATAAGGTTGGCGCGTGATAGCGGGAAAATTACCCAAGGATGGAATCCGTATATAAGTGGTATTATCTATATGTAATTAAAACCAGGTGTTGTCTGCGGATATTATATACGGATCAGGGAAATAATTATTTTAAAAAAATATATTTCTGATTTAGGGGAAGCTGGGTGTCATTTCTCAACCTCGAGCTTTCCTCTCTTTGTTGAACCCTGGACATTTCTTCTCTGTCGAACCATCACGCTTTCCTTTCTCTTTCGAACCATCTTCGGTCTCAGTTCGGTGTCCTTCTGTGGAGCCATCTTGGGTGTGGGTGTTGGTCTTTGGAGC